AAAAAAAAGAGAGAAAGAACTAAAATAAATTGGTCTCCACTAGAGAAGACTCTCTTCATTATAGGAGTCTTGCTTACACTTATGTGACCTATTTCCTTTCTTCCTAGCATCACCGTTTGTTGTCTTTTAGAACTTGGATTTCAGATCTACGCACAGGTTACCACGGTTGGGAACTCGGTGCTATTGTGTCCTTTCCTTTTTACCCTCAGCATTTCGTCGTTGCACATTCACAGACATCGATGTTGTTGTATACTTCATGATTTTTTAAAACCTTTTTCTTGAAGTTTGATTGTAGTCCCTCTTTTCTTGATAAAAATTGCGAGCAAGAAGGTGATCACAATTACTGTTGTTGGGGGAGCACCGCTCCCTTTACTCCTAGCATTTTCTCTGCCCCTGAGGGAACCAAAATTTAAATGAATTTCTATATATTACACTCATTTTAAAGTTAATGCAATAACTTTAATATTCATTCTAATCAAATTTTGATCAGATCATCCTAATCCAAAATTAAATAAAACAAAAAAGAACAGCAAACTACAACTACATGAAAAGCACCATGAACTCAACAAAAAGTCCACTTCTTCATTCCTCCATTCAAGCAAAATATGAACAGATTTTTTGTAGTAAACAAGAACTGCCTTTTTTTTTAATATAAAATACAAACAAAAACCTTAAATTGCATTCTTACAGAATAATCACAAATCATCAAAAACTCCCCTTCCTCATCTCCTCAGCCATAACCTTTTCCTTCGTCTTTGATCCCACCTCGCTTGCAGCATGACCAACCTTCCTGAAAGCTCCACTCACCAATGACACCCCACCGAACACATACTTGTTCTTCATCATTGCCGAACCTGCACCACTCACCTTTTGCCCCGCCGCCGTCATGGCCGATTTCGTCTTCCCCGACACCTCGAATCGCCGGTCGACCTCCCGGACCTTCCCGGTCACCGCCGAAGCGCCGGCACCAATCTTCTCGCTCAGCCCAATTTTCTGATTAAGGGAAACAACCTTGGCAGCGGCTGTGGACGTTATCCGGTGCTTCTCGTCGAAGGATTTGGCTATGCCAACGGTTCCTTTGCCCAGAACATAGGATTTTGCGAGCACACTGGCAACGACATCTTCGGTTCTTCCAACGACGGATTGCGAACCGCTGGTTGGCTGCTTCTCTTCATACTACAGTATGAAGATTTTTATTTTTATTTTTTGTTGATCAAGAATTTAGATATTTATTACTCTGTGAGAACAAAGTATGAAAAAGTAGATATGAAAACATATATGGATTCATACCGGTGGAGGAAGAGACATGATGCGTGGTGGCTGATAATCAGAAGCAATTGTAATGATAACAGATTGATCAACTATAGTTGCACCCTGAGACACAAATAAAATAGCATTTAGAGAATTGCTACAAGGATATAAATATATATGAGAAGATTTACATATATACAACTCAAATTCTCTTTATTTACATACCTAACACATATACTTCATTTTTTACATATATATGCCCCCTTTTTTAAAAGTTAAAAAGTGGTATTTTTTATGCAATATGAGCATTGTAAAAGTTGAAGTTTAGGTGTTTGGTTTGTGTTACATAGGAATTGGGTGGTATACATGTAAATGAGCCATATATAAATACTACTGCAAAAGCCGAATTATCTTTTAAAACATTAATAGCTGAGTACAAGCAGTTGTGCAAGGCGTGGCATCAATATTTCCGACTTGGTGGATTATCATACATAAAACACAATTATCACTATATACATATTGAGATCCTAAGCATAGGCATTTTAGTTATATGATATGCTAGTGTCAGAATCATATTAAAACGCATGCATAAAAGCAATTATTCCTTTTTAAAAAATTATTATTAATGATATT